TTGCAGTGATCATGCACGGTCCACTTCGGTCATCATGGTTGTTTGATCAATAAACCGCTTTGAATTCTTTCGAAGTAGATTTGGAGCCCACTTTGCAGGTAGTGGTCCTATCAAAAGCTAGTATCCTGAGGTTCAATCTGCCGTTGTTCCCAAAAATCTATCGCCAATCTTTCGTAAAACTTGAGCATCATATCGATTTTCCAGTTGCGAAGAATATAACTCTGTATGTAGACGATAAGATATCTCTCGGTCTGAAAGACGTAGCACGATTCTCTGCGGTGAGTCCCCGTCACGAAATGTTGGCGGCGTAGGCTTTGTCGTCCACTCATCCATTGTCCATCTCGTCATTTCATACGAGATCCTTTCCCTTCGCATATCCGTCCTCTGTCTTCAACTGTCGCATCATAAGAAGATCACTATCATCAACTGCTACTCACCGACCGACGTAGCTGATGAGTACGAATTAAATGCGTTCTGCTATCAGTTGGAGGAAGTTATCCGCAATGATGCGGCATATCATAAATTTGTTGTCGGAGACTTCAGAATAGGAAAGGCCAACGAGAGCGAATATAGGATCGGAAATTTTGGATTATAAGAAAAAAATGAAAATGAGAACCGTCTCGCAATACTCCTGTCAGCAGCAAGTCTCTTCCATGGAAACTCGTTTTTCAGAAGAAAGAAAGCCGCGAGAGGGCATGGGAGTTTCCCAACGGCATGTTTCATGCGGAGATCGAGCACATTGTGACAAACAGAAGATGGCGACTACTTGACACATCGGTAGTCCCGTCATTCTGTACTGGTTCCCATCACCGCCTTCTTCGCTCGAACATTCGATTTAGCCGTAAGCTGGAAAAGAATTCATGTCATCGACCACGAAGAAAAAGTCAGGCTGTATATGACGAGAACATTCTGAACGAAGTCCTATCCAAACGTAACTGGCAGATTAAAGAAGACTCGACCGAAGACTACGAGCTGCTTGTCGAAGGATTGAAAAGCTGTGCCGAATTCGCCTCAGTTCCTCAAGCAAGAAGATCGGATCGCATCTCCATCACTACTAAGGAGTTGCTCGAAAAGAGAAAGAAACTGAAGTTTAACCCTAGTGCAACACGTTTAACATGGCTAGTAATAAATGCAAGCTGCAGAAGAGCTTTGCAGGAAGATCTACAAGAGTACAAGCAGAAGAAACTACTGGAAGCAACAGAGAAAAGAAGCAGCCTGAAAAAATGCCGTCGGAGCTTGTGTGTTTACAATGTTCCGTTGTCAGCCCTGATAAACGAAGATCGGATCGTCAAATGTTCCCGCCATAACATGGAATTAATAGCAGAAACATTCAACACCAACCTTTTCCGTTCCACAATCACTGACCCGAACCCTAATATCCCGCTGGAGAAAAACCAACTAGAATTCTTCTGTCGGAGGTTCGAGTTATGATACAAAGCATGAAAAGAGGCACAGCTCCAGGAGGCGATAATATTACCGCCGACTTCCTTAAAGTTGGAAGCCACCCTTTACATGTACTTATCGCAGATCATATGAAAGCCTATCTTCAAAGGGATAAAATCCCAGACCAGTGGAGGACGTTGCGCACGGTCAGCCTGCCCAAGAAAGGAGACCGAAGGGATCTTCCTAACTGTCGTCCCATATGCTTGTTGAGTAAACTATACAAGCCCTTCACGAACATTATCCTGTCGCGCATATCAAGGACAATGGATGAGGAGCAACCAGTTGAGCAAGCAGGATTTCGAAAAGAATTCTGCTGCATGGACCACATCCAAACCGTGTACAGAGTCACCGAAGTTTATCGGGAATACCACTTGGCTCTAGTCCTAGCCTTTGTGGACTATGAAAAAGCGTTTGACAGTGTCGAAACGAATGCAATCCTATCAGCGCTCATCGACCAAGGAGTGGACCCGTCCTACAAACGAAGTCTGTCCGACTGTTATTGGAAGTGCACTACGAAACTACAGCTTTTCCATCGACTTCTTATAATTCCCATAGGAAAAGGGGTTCGACAGGGCGACACAATATCGCCAAAGCTGCCCAGTGCCGCACTGCAGTGGATAATGAAGTCACTCGATTGGGATGAGAAAGGCATACGTATTGATGGGAAATCCCTATCAAACCTTCGTTTTGCCGACGACATTGTCATTTTCTCAAGATGTACTATCGAAGCAGAAGTGATGATCAACAAGCTCAAAGAAGTGGGGAATAAGATCTGACTGCGCATAAATCGAAAGAAGACCCAGTTCATGGAAAAACTATGGTGCTAAGGCGAAAAAATTGAATTGGATGGCTCTCTCATTGCAGAGACCACTTCGTACGTTTACCTTGGGCGATCAATGAACGAGGAAAACAACATAAAAGAGGAACTAGATAGAAGAAGGAGAGCAGCTTGGGCCTCATTCGGGCCTCTCAAAGAAGCCACCGACCAATGGAAGGACCTCGAAAATTCGCGCTCAACTCTTCGATTCTACGGTCCTCCTAGCGCTCCGTTACGCTGCAGAGATGTGGGTTGATACTTCAACCACGTAAAGAATGTTTCTCACTACTCACAGAGAGCTCGAGCGATCTCTTCTGAAATATAACCGGCACTCTCAATATCTTTCCGGAATGCGAAGCTCTGACCTTCGAAATCTGTCACATCTTCGACATCCAGGAGAATACATATCGACATCGAAACATAGATGGGCTGGTCACATAATGAGAACAGACGACAGATGGACGAAAAGAACAGTAGTGTGGGCTCCAAGAGAATGCAAACGTCCCCTAGGATAACCACATACACGTTGGGCGGACGTGTCCCCAAACAACGTTAATCAGCTGTGCTCGCAGCTGCACTTGTTTCGAAGATCACGGTATGAGACTCGCACGCGCTTCCATGCTCGAACGAAACCACCACCATGGACCACCATTGCGAGAGAAAGGAACGAATGGCATATGCACTGGGGTCCGGACAGGTCGTGAAGACGGACCGCCCATGTATCCAAGTAGGTAAGTATGATTTTTTCAAGACTCTCAAACAGTTTTCTTGGTCAAAAATTTAGAGCAAGTGTCATGTGATATAATTGACAGATATCTCTGATCTTAAGAAGATTTGAATATGATCAAGGCAGAATTATGCTTATAAGAATCCTGCATGCAAATTTGTTGGCCTCCATGCAACATGTCTGACATTTGTGACAAGATAATCTATGTGAAGATTGTAGAGTACAATGCTGAAGCAATAATTTCCATGGCATGTTGTTGACTTGTTGAATTGGTCCGGTGCAAATGACCTTTCTAGCTATAAGAAGGTTGACCGCATCTCATCGTCTGATTTTGTAAAAGCGAATGCACAGTGTACAAAGATTCTGATAACGGATGTTTGTTGGATTGACTAGATTTTCCTTGATTTCCTCAGTTTCGTACGGGTTTTATTAGATCGCTACCAGAAACATTCACCGGTCCATTGAGATCGCATGGTCATCTGGCGCTTTGTAAGTAAGTGTCTTTCAAAATAGTAATGACAAAGAGACAAAGCAGCAAATGGAAAACTACGATATATTACGTTTATCTGGACCAAAGGAGATAGGAGGGCGCGTGTAGCGCATTGGTTACAGGCTCTCCCCAGCAATACACATGGGTTCGATCGCGCGTATCAGGCTCACAAAGCCTTCCTTCCCTCCGGGATCAGTAAATTGATGTTGATAATACCAGACTTGTCTGAGAGGATAGCAGCACCGACTTTATACATCGACAGGCCACCGCAAATCATCTTAAAGGCCAGATATGCATTCATTTGCCTCCAACGATGCTTTGTGAGGTTGAATGCATGACGCATCCCTCACGGATTGATCAACGCCAGAAGTTTTATCTTTTACTCTTTTATAGGGCATCGATCGGTGCTATGAATACCGGCACATCTGGGAGGCAAAAATCAATTCGGTGACGCAGAAGGAGGGATCACGACCTTTGAATCAACTTCGCATACTATCGTATGTCTCACATTTAACTAGCTACGCACAGACGTGTATAGTAGTTTCACGAAACACCTGATAAGCAGGATTTTCGGCACAGATGAACGAAGGCATTCTATACTTACATCAATTTAGAAAAGACTATCTGAAATTGCAAAATATGGTAATTGGTGCCGTCATCGAAAAATAACTGGAAAGGCATTAGAAATATAACAGATTTCTCAGGCACATCTAACTAACTGCGTTGCCTTATTATTAGATTAACAACAAACTCACTTGTGAGCGATGAAAGGATCATCGTATGCGTTGATAGTGGATGAGGTAAGACTAGCCTTGACCGACTGATGTGATGGAAGCTGCTCCCGTTGCCTTTGGGCCGAAGCCTTTCTGAAAACAAGGCCAACAATGATCGTACTACGTTATTCCTTTACTTTTTTTGGTTAACATTAACCATGAACCGCTTCAAACCAGACGGAATCAGAGCAAAGATGAACAGTGTTCATTCAAGTTCCATACCACTGACAATCGCATGTATGATGAGATAAGTATCACAACCTTATTACACTACTTTCTTCAAAGAAGTTGAAATACGAGTTAATCAAACGTTTCTGCGAAATGACATAAGCCTAATTAGTTAAGAGAAATGCACAGCGAAGGCCTCAGTGGTACAGTGTTTAATACGCGGGCCCCCAGAAAGAGTAATCGTGGTTCCATCTGGCCTGGGGTCCAAGTTCTGCGAATATCTCAACATTATTGTAGTTGTATAAGCGTCTAATTTCAGTCCTTTGACTAAATAATTGAAAAATGAAACTTGGATTAGTTTATCCTTCCTCCTACCCCTCATCTCAAATGATGTAAGTGCAGCTATAAAAGCTGCTTATGAAGGGCGGGTCTAGAGAATTCGGGAAACGTAGTTGAAATGCCACCGAGTAATCTTAGGCGCCAGCTAGTACGTAACCGCCTAGATGACCGTCTATGTGAAATGCAAAATTGCATAATTTGCCCTAATGGTAGAGACGGTGATTGCATGAGCTCGGGTATAGTTTATCTGATCTCCTGTAAGACGTGCGGTGACGAAAACATTGGCGAAACGGGTAGACCCCTCTGTGTCCGCATAAAAGACCACCTAGCAGGCAAACGTAAACCAAATACCCCACTGGGCACGCATAAGACCCAGAGACATAGCAGGGAGGACTTTGAAGTACATGTCACGATCCTCGCACAAGAATCGAGAATACAAGCGCGCAAAACTCTCGTGGCGTTCTGGATTAATTCCAGACACTCAAAAATGAACCGCAGGAAAGAATGCCTCATTATCATGTATGACATTGGGCAGTATATAAGACTGTTATTCTGATGGGAGGGGCACATTGTGCTTCCATGTGAATTCTGTACGGTTGGTCTTCACGCGATATACTCAGTGGAAGACTCATGGAAAGCGGTGAGTGTGCAGAGCTGTGTTCAATGTGATTGAAATCTTGGTTAAGCGTTTTTTTTGTTTGGTTATGGCGGTGTTTGGCCGAATATATTGCTGTCAACTTGACCTTCCCAGGCTATGAGGAAGGCGAAATCTGCCGAAACGTCAGCTTATTGGTGAATAAAGAATAAAAATAATACTTCGCGTTTGCTCAACAAGAACGAAGAATTACTTGGATTAGTAATAATTTAACGAGCAATTTAACGAAGTTAAGAAGTTGAAAAAAAATTTACACATCAGAACTTTTGGATTTTTTCTCTGCACATCACAACTGATTCCTACAATTTGAAGTTGGAGCCCACTGAATATGTCACCTACCGCTGCAACTTGAGGCTAGCTCTTATGATGTTTTTCCGTTCGATGTTATCTTCAGTTCTTCTTCGCGATTTTATACACCAACATAGAGCGAGTAGAAATAGAATCACTAATAGAAGGCTGATGATGATCACGGCAACCACAATGCCAGCACGCCACAGCACCGGCTCGACATACGGTTGTGTTCCTGAACAGCGAACTAAGTAGAAAATGTAGATCTCAAATAGTCAACTTCACAGCTATGGTATGTAAAATAAGGTCAAAACTCTAAACCACACTGATGGATAAGAAAATTTTCTAGGAAACTTTAGAAAATGAAGAACGAAGGCCGTTGCAGGAGTCCCGGTGTTTCATGAATGTTCAGTCACGAACAGAACATTTTTCTGCACAACAAAACGCTCCCAAGCAAAATCTTTTATTTTTTCAACAGCGGTAACTTATGAAAACAACAGCATGCTTTCATGCTTTCAATTCAGATAGTTCTAAAAGTAGAAAACATTGTAGAACTGATGGATATTTGAGTAAGAAAATTGGAACATGCCTTTTTTCAGTGGGAACAACAAAGAGTTTAGTGCGTGTTGGGAAACAAACCGAGCCATAAGGATAAAAATCACATAGAAAGGCCCAACAAACCTTTTTCGCATACGAAAGGCATTAGATTGTTGCAATTCTGTGTGCCAATCCGGCCAGTACGAGCGCTCAGCCAAGCGCACTGCGTCGATGGAATCGAGACCGACGAGATCCACACTACCGCGTCCGAACGCAGCTGAAAACCCATCAAAGACAAACTTCCTACAAAACGTCTTCAATGTTTTCAGTGTTAGCTTTTCACTCCTCAAAAGATGCACTAACATACTCCGAACGAATCAAATTTTTCAGGGTCAGTGATGTATTGCTGGCTGAACTGGTCAATTCGTTGCGCGATTTGTTTCTGGCGAACGTCGTCTGCTCTCAAATAAGGCACGAAAGAGTCCATTGCCTAGAAAAGATCTTGAATTATGGATACCGGGCAAATACTTGAGTGTTCGCACGTCTTGTACAGATTCTTCGAGTACTTCAAATTAAGTGGTGTGAAAGTCGACCGAGAACAAATGGCATCAAGAGTACACACACATTGCTTCATGAAACATACCTCAGAATGGCCTTCTAATAGCTTATAAAAACTAGTAGTTCTAACCTCACAATAGAGTGTCGCATCGGTATAAGTAGCTGCTGCCCCCACGTAAAGAAAGCATGATTTGAATTCTTCTAACCCGGCTTGGAACCAACCAGCCGGGCAGTCGCCTTCTAGAAGAGACGAATTCGATTCCAGTACTGGTTGATAGTCCACCTATAACGAAGATATAACTACTTTTTACGCCAATAATAATAGGGTTACCACGCGTTCACAATGAGAAAGCTACAGAGTTTCTTCACTAGTGGCACGTGGGAATGGGAGCCAACGCGTATCACTGCGCCGGATTATCTAGGTTATTTTTCAGTAGCACTCCATTACTTTTTCAATAATACTTTGCGAGGAAAAGGTACCAATAAGTACCAAAACAAAAAACAATCAAAAAAGAAAAGTGGTAGAAACTACAAAAACGTACGAATTAGCTGTACGAACTATGAGACACAGAAGATTAGCATAGAAAATCATGTATACGATTACAAAAACCTAGCAAGGAATTCGAAGAATGACAGCCAAAGTCCACATCTTTTTCATTAGACCTCTCCCAAATAAAATATGAGACAGGTGAATATTCTCAAAAACATGAAATCGCCTGGGGGCAAAAAATTACTGTTTACATAACTATCAGCATTACCTTCACAACATTTTTTCCTCTTCCCAAATTCAGTCTAACTGTAGAGAACATTCTTCACGAATATTGGAATGTTCTCTATGTAAAACATTTCAAACCTTTTCAAACATTTCAAATGCTTCTCCCATGACCTCTCCATGACTACCTGATAGCCGTATGTCTAACATTTCGCTGGCGCCTATCTCGTAAAATATCTGCACCAACAGTCCAAGGCTTTGAATATCGCCCTATCAGACTGCAGTGGTTGAGAAATGTTTCCAGCACCCGTCTTTCCGCCTACCGTAGTCTGAGTCCGCCCAGCGCAAAAGGTAAGTAAACGGCTTCACGGTTAGCTAGCTCATGTCACAGCAATGCTGCCCAAGTCACCGTATCCGTTCCTCACATCCACCTCATGTACTTGAAGTCATATGCAAATCTCTTCACTCATAAGCAACCTGAACACCAGTGATCAAGCTGCGTCTATTCATTACCAGTATCATTGTTGCACTAATTGTACAGTCATGCTATAATTGTTGTGTAATTATAATAAACGGTTTAATTACCCAAGTTTGAAGTGCCCTGCATTGTGACTGCTACTTACAAGAAGTCCCGCGTGGCGTAGACAAAGGCGAGCAGCTAATTCTGACCGAATCGTCTTAACTACTTGGTATTCCTATATTAAGGAGCCGTCCCAACACACTTTTTTCCAAAATTCATAATGACTGAAGCTGTAAGGCTCAGGTGTCGTAGATCACTACAGAGCTAGAAATTAGAAAATATAGAGAAAGAGAAGAGTAGGAAAATATAAGAAAAAAAGGAAAAGGAAAAAGATGAAGAAAAATTAGACTTAAGAGTGAGGAAAGCCGGCTTGCTTTAGGGACCTTATTGCAATTCATAAAACCTAAAATATAATTCCTTCACTTTATATTGTTCTTTCTTTCAAATCGTTCTTCGACTTCAAGTACCGACTAATTTTGAGTTTTCCATTCCGCTTTCATTGGACTTCACTGCTCAAAGAATAAGAAAATATAAAGAGAGAAACTTAGCATATAAACTTGACAAAACTGTAAATAAACTAAGCTATAAAATAAAATGATAAGAATAAAACAAAGCGACGACTAAACTATAAAATAACAAAATAGAACACTAAAGGCGTAGAAAATAAAACAAGTAAGAACCTTGGTGAGGTACGGATAGTCGGAAAAGTCGCGTATTTTGCCAGCAGCAACGCTCTCCACGCCAGGATATCCCCAGTAGTTTAGCCGGGCATCGATAGATCCGATATCATACCTGAACCTATGAGTGTAACAATGAAGTCACAGCCAAAGAAACGACATGTCAGTAGCGACTTGTCAAAAATGTGTGGCAAAACAGTTCGAAGTTAAAAATGCATTGCGTGTACACTCTTGTCTTTTACGGCGTGGATTCTATGGAGATTTAAAGGCTGCACAGAAACCGTTTCGGGTAAGGATCGAATTTACTTATCAAGAACCTGGCAATCAGAAAACAATAGAAAGGGTTACTCACAGAGTTCTTCCCACTGTAGGCAGAAAACGAAGTACAGAGCACATGGTTCTGATTCGACCCCTCTCCCACCTCACCAGGCCTTTCATCTCTCCGGGTCATTAAATTGGTAGCGGAATTGTACGGGAAAAATCACTCTCTGCAATCCAAGTAGGAACGTAGTAGCGCGGCTATCCCAGGACTATAGTGAGTATCGACTCGACCAGTATTCTACGACATTGAAGATAAAGTGAAAATCTTCAAGCAATAGCCGATGTCAGACGTAGAAGCTGGAAGATCCATTTGACTGGATGATGGATGCCAAGAAATGAATCGACTGTGGTGGTGGGTTATGCACAGCAAATTTGAAAGGCTGGTCGTATTAAAAAAGAGGCTATACAAAGCTCCCACAAGACCTACCCAGCAAGGGAAGCACAAATGGAATCCATAAAGCACATGGAGAAGTTGAAAACATAGACGAACCATAAGAAGTAAAAAGGAAACTGACTGGGTTCGTTTCGAGGTGGTCAGCTCGTAAGAGTTCTTCTTGTCGTTAAACACGTTTCCTCTGAAGTGTTGCTGAGAGCTTCCCGCTACAATTTATACACTAAGGAAATGCTGCTAATGAAATGCACCGAAAGAAGTAATCAAAAAGTCTTAAAGGAAGTAATTGAATGCATATTTCTTGAAACACAACATAAAGTTGCGAAAACACAACAGCGGAAAGGAAGAACTGAGTAAACCAAAGCGCACACTTTCTATTTAACTCTATCACTTGCGCAAACTTTTTGATTTTCAGCTCCACTTTTTAAAAACTATTTCTTTACATTGTTCGATAACAACGATTGTGCAGATCCTAGCGAAACATGCATTCGACCCGGCTCTTCGTATCCACAATCCATGAAAACCCCCAAACTTTAAGTGTGCGTTCGATTCTCGTCTTCGTTATAAAGGACCTTGAATAGTGATAAATTTCCCTTGGAATCCTGGGTAGCCGGGACAAGGCGTTCCCAACCAGATTGGAAGGGATAGGTTGACTCCAGACGGGTCAGCTAGTTTGCCAACCCCGAAGGGAAGATGGGCTTGGTGGACCCGAAAGGGGATCAAACAAGCATCTCGCTCGTAATCAGCGGCACCATTACCGCTACACAATAACTCTACTAGACCAGAGAAAGTCTTCATTCGTTACATACTGGTGCAGCACACCTTTTGGCATGATGCTCTAATTTATTGCTTTGCCAAGAAGGTAGTCGTGAAAAGTTCGCCGGGTTGCGTCGTGGCGCATGTTTACTCCCAGCAGAGTTTCTAGATGGAAATGTTAAATATATCTTTACGCTGAGTATCCTGACGCGAATGAGCCCCTTTCTTATTTAAACACTCAGGAACACCATCAACCACGACGGGGCCATAATTTTAGCGATTTTTATATCAACGGAGAAAAAAGACAGTTTTACGTAATTATATATGCGGACACAAACTCGGAACCGATTTCATATATTTCGGAAAAAATTTTGCTCAGTAGGAGTAGCCTCCCAACGGTTTGCTGCCTCATTGTGGCTTAAGGGTGATCATGGTTATCGTGCTGCGTTGTACAGCATGGGGATTCATCCCTTGGAAGGGTCTCCCAAGCTGAAGAGTCCGGCGTTTCCATGCGAAAACCCAGCTAAGAATAACGTAATACCATGATGTCACCGTCCCTGTAGCAAACCAGTCATATGGTGGCAATCTCGCTCTGATCCACAAGGGCGGTGATCACCTGTGGTGGTGAGGACCTCGAGCGAGCAGACTTTGGCTAGGCTGACGTCGGGATTCCAGATTATCACAATGACTAAACCAGGGAAACACTCCGAGAAAATGGAGATTATGCTAGGGCCCGCACAACCAGTGAGGACGGGCCATCCAAGCATCGAAGTAAGAAAGTAAGTAAATAAGTAAGTAAGTGTAGAAAGATATAAAAGTTCACTACGTTTGGATACGTTTATGAACAGAAGTGGTAACCGGAGTTCTGCTTGCTCATAGTTCTTGCCATTGTCACCAGAATCGCTCGCCTCCTGAACTAATTCTAGTCCCAATGGAACAACATCACTTCGACTCACAAAATGCAGGCGCACCTTTGTTGAAAACCCTATAACGCCGTAGTACAAGTATCCCGGAATTCCAAGTAAAAAGCCCGCCTAATACCCATTCACCGAATCAGTTTGGACAAAAAAAGACAAATAATTACGATGTATTCGAAGCTACATAAAAAACTGGACACCTCAACGAGACGTAGTGAACAACACGGGTCATCAATGTATTTCAACCGATGAGATTGGATGACAGAAGCCATAATGAACGCAATGCATCGAGTTGGGATCTAAGACCACTGTCTGATGGAATGTGGCTCTTCAGAGATGTAATTCACGAACTGTTTTTAAGAAATTCAGCCACTTTTATTCGCATAGAAAAGGTACTCGACGTCCTCTACCGATGACCGCAGTCATGCGATGACGTAACAAGTTGCTTTACTGGGAAGGTTGTTGCAACATTTTATTAAGGCTAATATTTCAGTGATAGAGTGCGTGTTGCGCAGTGGTCGGAGGCGCCCTACAATACACATGGGATCGACTCCCGCGCCACTGGCCTACCAAGTCCTCCATCCATCTGGGCTCAGCAGATTGGTACCAAACTAGTCTGGGAGGATAGCAGCACTGGCTTGATACATCGGTAGGCCACCGTCAAACATTGTAAAGGCCAGATATGCATTCAATTACCTCCAACGATGCTTAATGAAGTCGAATGCATGGCGCATCCCACAGGGTTTGATCAACGCCGGGAGCTTTTTTAATCTTTCAGTGATTTGTTCAAAGCCGCAACTATTTGAGTTAGGTTTCCATTGCAATTACTCTTTGTAGAGCCTCCGTAGTCGTATCGAGTCAAATTGAATGCATGAAACACCAAAAGAAAGTGACTGATTTTAAAAGAGTAACTGTTATAGTCAGCTGAACTACGAAGAAAGCAATGACTCTGAAAGGTTAGCTACAATAAAATGCTAACATCGTGTAAGGTTAATAACAAAACAAGATGCTGATTATTGATGTCGAGGTTAAATAAAAGTCGATAAACAAACAATGCAATAACTCCCTGTACGATCAATAGATTTCAAGCGGGACACTTCTTATCGCACCGAATTACGTTTGCTTAAGCCAGAATCCACGCTGAAATAAGCTCTTGAGCTCACCCAGTATGGTGCTGCGATATCTCTCGCTCTCCGTTCCCACATGGGTCCACCAGTCGAATGAAATACCTTCTTGTGTGATCACCTTAAACAAACGTTTCAGTTCAACAACAAATGCTCAAATAATTACCATTTTTTTTACTCCATGATCCGCTATTATATCTACCGAGCGGATCTCAGCACTTCTCGCATTTGATTCGTTCTCCTCGCATTCGTCGTCCACAAAGGTCTTCTAGAATACTTCTCTTTCGAGAGTTTCGAGAGATACAGTATTTCGGCTACTACTTAAGAATTTCGTCTTCTTCATGAAACTCCTAGAATGCTGGTCGAGTTGATACTCCTTGCGATCTTATAGATAGCCGAACTGAGGCGTTCCCACGTGGAGTGGAGGACGGCGTTGGTTAATGTGTCGAACTAGCTCCTTGCTTATTTATAGACAGCATCGCTAACCACTATGCAATCCCCTCACCCTACTCAGATAGATAAGCTTGCTTAGATACCGATGAAGCGCATATGTATGTTCCAGAATACTGTTCTTCATATAAACTTTGCTCGCTGTCAATCTTTTCACCAAGTCTGCCGATCTGCCTCCTATTTCCTGCCCCAAAATGGCGTCCTTGAGATTCCTTGTGAGAAGAAATTTTGAAACTTTCCATGTCTTCTAGATTCTTGTTAAATGAACCACTTAGCAATAAGTGTTATTTTAGCCAGATATTACTGAGGTAGGATTGGAAAAACACTAACATTTCGTAGAGATAGAAACCAACCTGTCTTCTGGGTCTACGAAGGAACTCGTCATGCTCTTTTTCGGGAAGAAAACCATACTGCTCCTAAAATCAAGAGAGTGGAAATCACAAGATTTCCTTCAGAATGTTCTTAGAGACCGGAAGAGCGAAATAAGAACTCTGGATTCTTGACAGTGCTTTCAGGAGATCGTTATGACAATAATGATTTGATTGACGTACCAGATATTGATGGCCGTGGCCAAGGGCGATATTTTCCTCAAAATTGTTGTAGAGGAACGTTTGCGTCTCCGAAGTGATCCGAGAGTACCTGGAAGAGATAGGAGTTGTAAAATTGGAACAAATTTATACTGAATGTTCTTGCTCATCATCATCTGTGAAATTGCCACTGAAAGATTGAAAGGCGCAAAAGTGGTGCAGTTATTATCGCCTATCTAAGCATCTTAGTCTCTATCCAAAATATTTTCACTCATACACTCTCAACCTCTACTTTTTAATTTTCTAGTGATTCGACTCGTAACATCGTCCTCAGGCTACTAACAAGATTTGCTGCCGTACTGCACTAATACACGTTACTGAATAGCAAGCCTCTTTTCTATCGAAAAAGGCGGAATGCCTGTAATGACTAGCTCAGAACACAAGAACAGGATAATCACGGAATCGAAAAAAGAAAGATGCTTGAACAGCATTCAAAATATCGAGGGAGAAGAAGACACCCCCTACCCTTAAAACGGTACCGTAGATACGCGGAAATACACTACATCCCTACTGATGATGACTGCAATAAAACGAACCTAGTAGAAATCTCGATATTGAGCCGTTTGATCAATGACTGTGCGAGAGATATCTATCTATCCAAGTAGTCATTGATAGCATAAATTCTTCCTCTCCAATGGGATAGCTGACCCCGAGGTCGCAAAATTGGCACCGGAATTTTTCATACAAGCCCACTCCCTCTGATGCATCTGGAAACGGCCTAGCACGACTATATCAGGACTGTATGAACAATGGACTCGACTATTAGTCAACTCAACAGCATTCGTTATGAAGAAGAAAACTTCCCAGACAGCAACACGAGTCTTAGATGGTAGGTGCGAGGAAATGAATCGGAAACAAGAAGTGCCAGAATTCGCAAAGTGTGCTATCGGGTCACGTAATAAATTTTTCTTCTTTAATATGACCGATCTTCACTTCTACTGTGCGGATCCTAGCACTTCTCACATTTGATTCCTTTCCTCACATCCATTACCCACGAAGATCTTCCAACTATTACGTGTGGCTTCGGCTACTTCGCCTACCGCTTGAGGATTTTCCATTTCATCTTGAATGTTGTAAAATGGTGACCGAGCAATTCTCCTTAGAGTTCTGAGATAGCCGGGCTGGAGCGCTCCCAATTGGATTGTAGAGAGTGGTTTCTTCGCAGACAAGCCCGGTAGCAATTTCCCAACCCCGAAGAGATGAGAGGAATCGAACTAACACCATACTCGTAATGACGGACATCACTACCGCTGTGCTATCTGCCCCCTAATGTAATAAGTAGTAATAAATAAGATGCCATGCGACCAAACCGTAGATGGAGAGTGTTCCCAGAATTGTTTTTTAATGAACTGTAATGCTCAACCAAGTGTTAGCTCCATCTTGGAACAAATTCAAGGATAAGATAATAAACCTCCCCTTGATTCACAAGTTCACACTTTGCCCGCTGTGGCCATTACACAACGCCCTTACATGGACTAGGCTACTCCAGACTCCAAACGATAAGGTCTTTCCAAGTTGGTAAAATAGTAGTTAATATCGGAAATCACTTTTCTTTTACATGTATCACTGGAATTTTTACAAAGGGCAAAGATCGGCGTAGACCAATCTCTGAGGGTGCGAAATGTATTTGATTTCATTACGCATCGTAGAAGCAACTGAATGCATATGTGACGTATACAATGACTCGCGCTGGTTTACCGATGTATCGAGCCAGTGCTGCTCTCCTCCCAAACAAATCCAGTAGCAATTCCCCCACCCCGGATGGATGGGTGACTGATCCAGTGTGCATTGAGAGAAACCTCTACTGTACGACAGGGTGACAATTTTGACTTCCAAAGGTCACAAGTTTGAGACGAACTTTTCTCTAAACTTCACAAACTATTTCAACACCACAATTGAGTGCCATTTAAAGAATGAATTGTGGTAAAAGTGAGCTAGCAAGTTCTCAGCCTGTGGATATCCCGATAGAAGTTGAAATAAACAAACAAACTAATCAAGTGGAAAATCTCGTGATAGCAAAGAAACAACAAACGTAGAGAATAACCCCTTCACTGCAAGTTCCGACGTCTCTACGTACACCTATGACCCATCAGCAAGATGAATTTCTACGTTCATCAGAGGGAGGCATACGAAAGTGTTTTTGAGACGACAGGTTTGTCCAACTATAACCCTTCCTTTATTAAGAGTAATCGAATTTACTAATTGCACTAATGTTGGCTATCCTTCTAATCAACAAATGAACTCGATGAATGAATTTATAAAAAGAAAATATAGGAATACGAAAAGCCTTCTTACCCTTGAGAATCAACCGTATGCAGACCAGTGTTGGCGAAGAACAGGTTACGAGTCAGGTTTACCGACATATCGTGAATTTTCACTGTGTCATGGTGGACAGCGTAGTTGTACGAGATGATGTTGTTCAGCATAGTTACCATCTGAAATCATATTCTGTACTCAGAGGATAGCTGTAATCCTCTTTGTTTAACCTCCTCGAAGTGGAAATACCTTCTCAACTAAATGTCCCTGTATTTTGTAAAGCCAAGCAGAATAATGCAACGAGACAAAAGAGAGGACCGTAAAACTTAGCAGCTAAAAAATGAAATGACCTCTCTAAAACTAACCCATTTCTATTGATGAGATGAAAAGCCCAACATATCCTGTTGTCTTTTAACTTCAACGCGCACCATACATGACACTTCAGACAGTTTCTGTGAAGTTAGTGGGACGATTTAATAACTCGAAAGACCGACTTTCTATAAACCTCGGCATACATAGTTGATATATTCATTTCTTCTTAAGCTACCAAATAGCGATATTGACACTACATTTCGTTCATTTTCGGACGAAATTCTCCGCATACTTAATCACTACCAAAAACGAAAAGAAGCTCCAACCTCAAAACGAACAAAAATGTGGTATGCGCCAGCTTAGACAGCTTTTGAATTCAAAGTCTGTTAGACTTTCTATTAATGATAAAGGTAGGGAATTTGTAGTTATTCCTAGTCAGTTGGATATTAGGATAACAAAGGAGCACCTCAATGATGTTCCTCTCTATCGAACATCCTCTAAAAAGGAATACAGAAACCAATACCGAAAGTTGAATCAGGAATGGGTCAGCACGGCAAAGGCCGCGGGTTTAGAGCCTTCAGTTATTTCTCGACTTAAGAACGAACACCCGATTTGCCCTGTCCTTTACTTGCTTATTAAAACTCATAAGCTCACTTCAACTGATGATATTACGTCAACGAACCCATCATCGTTTAAAGTTAGACCTATCATCAGTTGTATAGGCGGGCCAACGGATAGAATAACGTGATTTCTAAACCTTATCCTGATCAAGTTTCTAAAATTCATTCCAACCCATCTACCTGACACCATACCAACGTGCCCAATGACTCCGCAATGCAAGTCATTCTCGAGTTGCTCGTAGAGCACGAAAAAAAGTATAAATGTACAGCTTGTCGATTGCGCAACTAATAACTCTTAAAACAGTGTCTTAGTTGTTCAATCTTTAGGTGGTCTGGAAAATATTTTGCACGAATTAGAGGGTTGGCGATGGGGCAGCGTTTAGCACCAAGCCTTGCCATCGCTTTCATGTCTAAGGTGGAAGCTCCAGTTCTCGATCACCGTCTCTTACTCTACTACTGTCGATACACAGTCGACTGCTTCATCGTCTGTTCCACACAAGAACAGATGGATGAGTGCTTTGAATTATTAAACCGACAGTTAGAGCATATAAAATTTACACGAAAAAAACTAACAGAAAACTGGATTCCATTTTTAAACATCCAAATAAAGCTCTCAGTAAGTGGCTATGTAACAAAATGGTATCGCAAGCCAATTAGTAAAAACATTCTAGTCCACTGCCTCTCCTCTCATCCTTCACACATGAAAAAAGCACTTATCAAAAATATGTACCGTACGGCTAAAAATGTGTGTACAGGAGAAGTGGAAAGGAAGGATTAGCAAAACCTGGCACGAAAAATAGCCATTTCCAATGGCTACGAAGAAGATGCTACTCGGGTTAGAGGAAAACATTGGGTAGTTTCCCAAAATAATATTTCAGACGAAAATAAAATTCCCTTTAAGCTGCCCTTCATATCAAATGAAGTAAGTCACGCCATTAAAAAGTGCTTAAGAAAAAGTGGTCTTGAAAATTATGATCGTCTTTCCGGTTCATCTTTGGATTTTTGAAATTTATCCAAATCGCCTCAAGAGTTTTGCGCGTTGATGTTTTTGATTCCTGCGCTAGGATCCGCACGTTCACTTCAAAGTCATCGCCGTTGTGCTTTTGTGCCCTATGCTTACCTAGAGGAACGATTAATGACATCCCACCCAATACCCTACGCCGTCAGTTAGTTCGAAATCGCCTCTATGATCGTTTGTGCAGCTCAGAAAACTGCGTGATCTGTCCTAACGGGATAGACGGAGATTGCATGAGTTTAGGTATAATATACTTGATCTCATGCAATGCATGCGGCGAGGAATATATCGGGGAAACGGGTAGACCACTTTGTGTCCGCATAAAAGAACATCTAGATGGGAAAGCTAAAATCGGTCTAAACACTCCTCTAGGTAAGCATAGGGCACAAAAGCACAACGGCGATGACTTTGTAGTGAACGTGCGGATCCTAGCGCAGGAATCAAAAACATCAACGCGCAAAACTCTTGAGGCGATTTGGATAAATTTCAAAAATCCAAAGATGAACCGGAAAGACGAATGCCTCACTATCACGCGTGACTTGGCGCCCTATTTCAAAATGATATTTTGACCCCGAGATCTGTCTTGCTCGCGACCCCACGAAAAAAACTCGGGGGCCAGTCCCACACGTAACATCACAGTGGGTGGCCTTTCTGTCCAATATGGCGTCTATTTGAAAGTTTGATCTTCATTAATACTTTAACCTTTTTTCTACCGAATAATGAAAATATTCTAATATAAAATAGGTCCAGGTTCTGAGAAAGGCAAAGCCGCCGAAACGTCAGCCATCGACCAACAACATCAAAAACAACGACAATGGGACGATTTACTTACTTGGATGGTTCGACGGCCCGTCCTCATTGGTTTTGCGGGCCCCGGCATGTTCTCTATTTTCCGGAGTTTTGCTGGCTCAGCCGTTGTGCACGCCCGGAGTCCCGAGGTGAGCCTGACCAAAGTCTGCTCCGGGTCGTCACCACCACAAGCAGTCGCAGCCGTGGATTAGAGGGAGATTTGCCACTATGCGACTAGCTTGTTGCCATGACGGTGGTGGATCCTGGTATTAGCGAGGCTTCCTGATCGAAACGCCAGACTCCTTCTCAGCTTGGGAGAACGCCTCCCAGCCACGATGTAGCCGCAAACCGTTGGGAGGGATGGGATGATTTGAAAATAAGAGCCGACCAATAACTGCTGCTAATGAAGAAAGTTCAATACAGCGTAGATAGTGCCAATGCGTAGGAACAGCACCATTATAGAATGTTAACACAACGAAGTGTAGTAAGGACATTTCAATATTATACCATATTGAGGACTATATTTATAAACTTAACCGTTTTATTCACTACCTACTCTTTTAAATAGTAGCGTATATTGCGAAATATAACTTCAGTGATGCTGAGATCTTTGCAAAACTCCGGACCGCAGGTGCCTGCGGTGGGGAACGAATGCGCTGTTGTCATTTCCGGGGAGTAACGAACGGAGGACCAGCATGGTGTAGTGGTGAACGCGTTCTCTCCGGAAAGGACAATAGCGCGTTCGTTCGCGACCGAAGACACTTGCGGTCCGGAATTTTGCAAAGATCTCAGCATCACTGAAGTTATATTCATAAACTTAACCCAACGAGATTTGTTTGTTAAGGGCGAACAACAGATTTTTTCCTGCTTTAGAATGTAATCGGGTGGCAGAAAACTAAAAAGTTAACTTGCCTGAAAGTTGTTGCCGCAAAGTTCCAGAGTTGTGCTGTTGGAGTTCCACGAAAAAAGGTTGTTCTTAATGACGGCATTCAAGCGTGCAACAGCTGAGGATGACTGAGCCGACACAAGTAGACCTCCACGATTATGGGCCAACGAGTTACCGCGAAACAGCACAAACTATAAATTTCCACATTCTAATTGCTGTCCATTCTCTTCTAAACGAACGTTTGTTGACATTTTTGTCCTTAAACAATTCTGACCATCTCCGTATTTCTACGGTGTGAGTAACTCGAGATATGATAATTATCTATGAGAATCCTGCTCAGTAGTATACCATAGTATTATGAAGAAGAAGCTCCACCGCATGCAAAGAAGTCGATATGTTGCCAAAGAGATGAATACCATTCCTACTGAACGAACAGTCCTCTGAAACTTCCTAATTACATTTGTTCACTAAAAAGAACATTAAAAACTCTTGTTGCCACTGGAATCATTGACTAATCTCCAATATTCCATATACATGTATATGTAACATATATATATATATATATAATATATATCCTACCAACGGTTTACCGCCTCATAGTGGCTGGGAGGTGTTCCTGGGTGTCGGACTGCTATGTACAGCTGAGGGATTCGTCCCCCGGCAAGGTCTCCCAAGTTGAGGAGTTCGGCGTTTCTATCAGGAAGCCTAGCTAAGAGTAAACCAATACCAGGATCCATTACCGTCCTGGTATCAAGGTCGCATGGTGGCAAATCTCCCTCTGATCCACAAAGGCTGAGACTGTCTGTCGTGGTGACGACATAGGGCAGACTTTGACCAGGCTGTCCTCGGGATTCCAGGGAACCACAATGGCTTAACCAGCAAATCTTTAAAGATGGTGATTATGCTGGCTCCCGCACAACTAGTGAGGACGGGCCGTTCAAGTAACAAGTATATATATATATATACATATATATATACATATATATATATGTATACATATAAATCGTCAAATATCATCGTTCACCTATAACTACAGCTGGACTCATCTCTCCAGTATTCTGATAGACAACTGCTCCTCTGTCATTTCGGTCAACTCTTGATCCTCGCACTACCACTTGCTCAACACTACCTAAACAAACAACACTATGTGTCCTCTACTTCTCCAAATAAGCGGCACCTTAGAACTATCAGAAGCATGAGAGTTAGCAAGACAGAAAGACTCACCGGAGTCAGGTGTACTTGGTATAGCTGAGATTTCGGCAATGAAACCATATCCTCCATCAGCGGCAGTGCCACGAAAATGAATGGCAAGGACGTCAGCACTAACAGCATGTGAAAATGGAGTCGACTCGCGATCCATTCTAATGTGAAATTCAAAATTATGTTCGAAGTGGATAAAGAGGACCAGTCAGAAGATTTGTACAGCTCCATGAATTTCGTCACATGAAGTTCAGTGACAGCAACTCTTGCAGCTGTATCCATACCCTAATGCGATATTTCTTCATTCTAAAGAACATATGAAAATTTTCTATTTAACATTACTCGAAACTGACCACCATTATGCTCAAAAAAAGAATCCCTTACGAGGAACGGAAAACTTTAGTGAAGAACTACTTTAGAAAGACAGAAATAGTGAATACGCTGAAATGTTAGCCGAAATAAACATATTTATCATCCTCGTGTAAGCTCAACAACTGAAAAACATGTTGATTATTTCATAACCGAGGTTAAATAACGGTCGGTTTTACAATTGTTTCGTTATTCGCTTTGTGCCAGCTGATATTATAACGACTGCTGCAAGGTGGATTATCCGTTGGAAAACAAACTGTTGTCAACGAATAGTCTTATCTCAACAATAATAGCCCTGTATAAAAGGAAACTGCCAGGTGTGCATGCCTCATTCGTGCGGTGTTCACTGAAGAAGATCCCGCCTCGGTAAGACAACCGCCACCTCGAGGTAACGAACAGCTGTGGACCACCGACACGGATCATCGGCTTTGATGAAGAGGAAGACGTCGAAACGTTCGCCGAAATTAACATATTTATAAACTTCGTGTAAGCTCAACAATTTAAACACACGAAGAAATACTGTTCATCAAAACTTCACTGCCTTCTTAATATTGTGTACCTTCAGGGTCCCCTTGAGTTATCTCGGTGATAACAGTTAGCGATAAAGCTCTTAGCAACTTAGCGCAAGTAGTGTGAAAACACCAGCCTGTATTCGGCTAGAAGAGAAATCGGCATGAAAGAGATAGACGCGTATACCCTCAGCACATCCGACCTACCAATATCCGCCGGTGATGAATAAAGATTCACCTAAACTGGAGAAAATCCGCCAAGAGGTGGAAAGAACTGAAGCAACTGAAAAAGTACCTGGAGGAACCGAAAAGCCACCTTCCGACCTGGAGACGAAAAAATCTTCACACAGTCCACAGGCAAAGAGTCGTACTTATAGTAAACCTAGATATGAAAGTGTATTTATAAAAAGAAAAAGGAATAGAAAAAGGACTACCATAAGACGATTGGTGAGTTGGAGCATTTTGCCTGCAGCGCATATGTCCACCATTGACTGCGTGTAGTACGGCAGAGTCAACGGATGCGTTGGAACATCTGAAAAATACTAAGGAGATTGCAAGTGTGAGTAAATAAAGAAGGGTTAAGCAACAAGAACGGAATACAAATATTTCCGATCCGATTCCGATATTTCGTGACCACTTTTAGTCCAGAGCTATGGTTTTGAAATGATCAATGCTACACTGCTGATAGAATTTCACGCGTCAGTAATTCAAATCGAGATTTATTCAACGATTCCATTTCGATTTTATTCTTTTAAAAAAGCGTTCTCAACTCTCCCAGCGCCTCGTTGTGGCTGGGAGATGTTCCTAGGTGTCGGGCTGCGATGTGCAGCGGAGGATTCATCTCCACAGCAGGGTCTCCCAAGCTGTGAAGGAGTCCCGCGCTTCCATCAGGAAGCTTAGCTAGGAGTAAACCAATAGCAGGATCCACCACCATCCTGATAACAAACTAGCCGCATAGTGGCAAATCTCCCTCGGATCCACGAGGGCGGCAACTGCCTGTGGTGGTGACGATCCGGGGCAGACTTTGGCCAGGCTGACCTCAGGACCCCTGGTAAGCACAACGGCTGAACCAGTGAAACTCCGGAAAACAGTGAATATGCCGGGGTCCGCACAACCTGTGAAGTCGGGCCATCCAAGTACCCAATTAAGTAAAAAGCGCTCTTAACAGAAAGAAACACAGCACGAAATTCTGGAAGTGACGACAAAAATGGATAGATGCTTCAACATTCGCCGGCTAACCTGCGTTGGTAGTGGCGGACTGGATGCTGGCGGTGGTGATGGTGATGCCGACACCAGCGTTGTTCGTGACATTCACCATGTTCAGGATAACCTCTCCTCGAGGTGATACCACCTAAACACATCAACTACTGACTCCACATGACTAAGCTGAGCACTACACGGCAGGCCTTGACAACTACTAGTCAAAGCAACTCCATGTTAACAAATCCGTTTTAGTTTAAGATTTCTTTCACCCCTCTCCTAGGAGATATAAACTATTCTAAGTGCAGCAACATTGCAGAACTGAACACTGGAAAACCACTCAAGGATTTAGAGGTGTTCTTGAATAAACGAACAAAGTGTAGGATAGCACAGTATCATTGAAAATAGTACATCGATTTTTTCTCCGTAAAAAGACACGCGATTGGCGTTAATTTCACCAACCATGCCACTAACGGACTTATGCAAGAACATGGACAAAGAGATAGACTAACCTGAACGGCATGCATGCTGCTGTTGGTCACATTGACGTGGTCGACGAGGGGCGAACGGCCAAACAGCTGCAAACCAGCCGACTGCAGTGTGTCGTTGTGTCCTAGCCCACCTCCGACGATTTCCACATGACGAAGGATTGAGGCCTCTGGAAGCAACGACATCCATATGACATTCCTTTAATTTCAATTTGTCGGAATCCTGACCTTTCAGTGGTATCTCGCCATGGTCTAAAGAAGCACGGCCGAAGCTTAAGCCACCCCAATTTCCGATATAAATCCTTAACAGGTTAAATTATATCGATACAATCAGTAAAACCAGCAACAATTAACGTTTAAGCAGCACATTAAATCACTTAAGCTCCTGTTAACTTTTTGGTTTCCGACTGATTTTATGCAAAGGGCTCTTTAGTGACCCTCTTTCCTCAAAAATCGAAGTGAACCACTTCGCAGTAGAGTTTTCGAACCGAAGCGTTCTAATTACAATATGTGATAGCTCACAGATCCAATGAGGTATTCGTTCCACAATAGATGTAATTGAAATGTTCGTTGTCCATACATTGCCATTGAGAATCGTTGCCGGTAAGACGAAGCTCACATCTGAATTCTTCGGTCAATTTTAGAATGCCGGCTTTGAACAGGTACGATTTCATTTAATACCCCTTGATAGTTATATTATATGAAAGGCACGTCAGCTATTCTAGAAAATACAGCTTTTTCAATTCTGTAGTTCTTCATGCCTACTTCAAGTTATTGCTAAATTTTTCACACGTACCCAAGAATATTTTATGGAACAAATTCGTTTCCTAATGTCAACAAAGAGATACCGAACTTAACTGCTTTATTTACTGTCCAATCTTTTTAATGACAGGGTATATTGGGAAATATGACTTCAATGATGCTGAGACATTTGCAAAACTCCGGACCGCAGGTGTTTGCGGTGGGCAACGAACGCGCTATTGTCCTTTCCGGGGAGCCATGCGTTCACTACCACACCATGCGTTTCGCCTGTCTCTCAGCTAGTTCTATTCGAGTACGGTTAAGAATGTGATCATAACTAAAGCCTCACCTTAACTGGGTTCGCTGCCGATTTGGGCTCACCATATCAATTCCGCTAATGGGTAACTGCTGATGGCAAAAGATCGATAGAACTGGCTGAGACAGGCGAAACGAAGGACCCGTGTGGTGTGGTCGTAAACGCATTACTCCCCGGAAAGGACAATAGCGCGTTCGTTGCCCACCACAAACAGCTGTGGTCCGGAGTTTTGCAAATATCTCAGCATCATTGAAGATACCGAATTGTTTTCCAAATTTCATCCCCAAAAAAAAGTGAAGCACCCTAAGAGACCTCGAATCCCACTGAACTCCAATGAAAGTTTGCTTCCTAGAAATCTGTTCCTTCTTGCAAAATAGGGAAATATTAATCCTTACCGATCAAGGCTTGGTTCGTTTCCTCTGCATTCGCGCGGTTCCATGTAGGTCTTCACAAGATGAATTTGTGGGTTAAAATCCCACCGTGGAGTGAGCCAATGGTAAGCGTTCATCGTCTCCAATCCCAACTCACGGCAAACAACCTAAGATCAATTTCTTTGGAACAGAATTGGTCGTATCAATGAAATTCCACCGCTTGAAAACGTTTCAAATGAAAGAGAGAACATTTCAGCTTACCTGGGCATTCCTAATGGTGAACTGCCTGTCGCAAGACGCGATTGTCTCCCCAGTCGTTGCGTTGTAGATCTAAAATGATGGATATCAAAGTTAACTATTATTCTCTTATCATCCCATTCTCCTCTTCTATGTTTTACTATAACCTTGCCATGGCGAGGGTCCTGAGTTCTAACTGTAATGAACAGTAGGATATTTACCACATAGTAAGGTTAAAAAGCTGGGAGCCAAAGGAACATAAGTAAAGGGAAACTCAGCTAAGTTCTTTATGGTTTACCTCTCCGTATGGTGATAAGAAATTGCTCTAAGTGTCAAAATCTCGTGCCCCGGTATGGTTACCTAGCGTGAAGGTTTTGACACTACCAGCCATAAGCAACAGAACTAGTCATAAAGCGGCAAACTCCCCTAGAGCTAGAAGGGTCGGCAACAGCATGACATAACAGGAAAGAAAAGCAAAATATCAGTCAAATGGAGACCATCTAGGGAATGTACACTTGCTGAAAAAGGCTATTTCGTACCTATGTATACAATGAGTTTACTTGAAGTTACTTCCCCTCACGATTCCTAGCTTAGTAAAGCTTACTTTCTATAGAGTAACCTCCTATTTATTCTCAAAAGGCAGCCTCCACTGCAGCTACGATGCCAGAATGCTCTGACATGGTCAGCCCAGTGAAGCTGTTCGTTAGACCAACAAAACACCAACTTCTGTTGTTATTTGATCTTGAGACCTATCAAAAGAAAATCTGGCAATTTACGATCTAAATATTTTAGCGTTTTTCTGCACTGACTTCAGGCCTTTGCTAAACCATGCAGATTTCCAGTTGATTTCATCAAGAGTAGGATACCAATCACGTTCTGGGAAGAATACGCAATTGAATAATTTGGGTACATATTACAAAAAAATAAAGGAAGAAATGCTATGGAACAAAACTCTATAGTTTGCAGAGCTGCCTTCCCTTTATGTTTGTAAACCCACTTCGAGACCGAATGGGATAAAAGTTGTTCCTACCTGCAAGAACCCGGCTTGACCTGGCATTGAGCTGTCATTGGTAAGCGAGACCGTAAAACGTTGATAGTAAGGATCGTCGCGAAAGAGCAACGGGAACTTTGAGTACACTTCGTCAGATTTAGCGCTAAACTAATACCATTTGAACATTTACCATTAAAAGCATGTTGAGAAACCAGTTCCCGTTTGCTAAAACACAAATTCATTCATTTGAAGCAGAAAGCTTTGAAATTCATAATCATTTCAACACACTACATGAAGTCAGAGACACGGATTTAAATCCTGCAAGAAGAAGCATAGTTTACTGCAGCTCTGGGACTTCATAATGTCAATCCCGTTACGCTACAACTTCGATTAATTCGACTCGTTATAGATACTTCTAGTGTAACTAGTATAGTATGCCTAATTATTTAGCTATAACAGTTTGCTATAAATCATGGCGTGAAATAAGTCATCGCTGACAGGTGACAGGTGATTGCTGATGGCAGCGTCAGGCAGAAAATTAGCTGAGACAAATCCAAAGCAAGGGTCTCAGTAGTGCAGCATGTAACACATGAGCCCTTGGAAAGGGTAACCACCATGGTTCGAGCAGGCCCGGGGTCGCAGTTTTGCGAGTATGTAAACCATTAAAATTGTTATAAAGGTAATCAACAGCGTTATATTAATAGGAGTATTGTGTTCAGTAAGGTTAACCACGAACCGGTTCGATCTTCCGCTTCTTAGCCAACTGCTGACGCGTAGACCAACGTCACTTCGCCTGTAGCGTCGGGGATAACTCACGCTCCGCCTGTATCTCGTACCGATTTTTCCCCTTATTTCATCGAATTCCGTTGTATTGATTGGTTTGAACCTATGATGAAGTACAACGGCGTAAATAGTGAATAACAGTGGAAATAAGAACTGGGAATCGATGGAATTCGACTTGCAATGAAGTGAAATTGTTTCAAGATGAGAAATTTTGTTGTTAGGTTTTACTGAGAACGATTTACCCCCTGGATCTTTTCTAAGCAACTTCGCTTCAATCAGATTTGAGAATTAGTGCATTTCTTAAGAATTTACTATTACGTCACGATTTTTAGGAAATGTAAAGGGACCTATGGAACTTTTACAACAGATAGTGCTGTTGATAGTCAATTTTCACCACAAAATCATCAAAAACCGGGTATATCAGCCAGAAGACAAATTTTGGCACAGTGTTTCACCATTAGTACTAGCTAGCTAAGTTGCTGTTCTTTTCATTTTTTACCGTAATGGTGCCCATCAAGAATCAAGGTGCTGGTGAAAGCCTATCTCATGCGATTTCCTCCAATTGACGCGGTAACGTCTTAACTCGGCTATCTCCAAGGTTGCGAGGAGATTCGGCTCGAGCATCGCCATAAACTCTGCTCTGCTCCTACTTATGTAATTCTTAATGTCGAATTTCTACGAAATCACTTCATTTCAGGGCATTCAGTGTTCTTGCTTTCTTACCTGATCGGTTCCCAATAAGTGCCATCGGCAATTAGATCTCCAAGAACCAGAATGCGGACATTCGGCCAGACATGCACCTCGACTCCCTTCTCGATCCACAACGTCGCTCCGGGCATTATTGTTAGGTCTCGGGTAATACGATAAGGACGAAAAGGCTGAAGTGAAGCAAAGTTTGCAAATTTCACCAACTATCGACTGAATCACGGACTTTTCTTATGTAATGCCATTAACACATTACAGATGCGCTTTGGTGGACTTCAGTCTTCTGGAAGGTTGAAAATGCATGGCTCAAAACTTTCAGCAGTTATAGCAAGCTTAAACAATCGGTGAGCAAAAATACTCAAACGCAGGTAGTTACCACCCATTCCTTCCTTAAATACAAGAGCAAAAGAAAACCGAAAAACAACAACAATAAGCGTCCAAATTTTCTATGTAGGCTCAGAATACATGCTTACCTTGTAATAATGCGGGAATTGATGCCATCTCTCCCGAATCAACGTAAGATTCTTCGATTCGAACATTCGCCCCTTCAGATCGAGAACCGACGGTTCGCTGTATGTGGCATTCGCCAACTGGCCCTGGAAGAAAAGCATAGTCCACACAAACATAATGACCATTCTCCCAGGTGTTACTATTTCCATGTGAAAATCACAGCCTTTATTGCTGTGCGCTCTACAGTAGCATTTTATAGTAAACATTCGTTGTTACCATATATTATCATCATTAATAGGGGCGCGTGCGGCGCAGTGTTCGGAGGAGTCCTGCAACACACATAGAATCGACCCCCGCGCCCGTGGCTCACTAAGCCTTCCATCCCTCCGGGATGAACAAATTGATACCAGACTTGTCTGGAGGACAGCAGCACTGGCTAGATACATCGGTAGGTCACCGCGAGTCTTTGCGAAGATCAGATATATATTCAATCACCTCGAACGATACTTAATGAAGTCGAATGCATGGTGCATCTCTCAGGTATTGATCAACGCCAAGAGCTTCATTCTTTTATTTAGCTTTTTGCTACTTAGATGTTTAAAATAGAAGTATTTGAGAATAAGCTCTTCTGTGTGCTTAAAAGAGTGCACTCCTCCATCGATTTCTTTCCAAATCAATTTTAATTTATTCTTGTAAGTGAATTTATCACAGTAAGCGCGGTCGTGGCACTTAGAGTCCTCACTTTTACCGAAAGAATAGTTTCAAGTCGTAAATTTTTATAAATATATTCCCAGGATCTCGTTGGCCGTTGAACAGAAGGGAATACATAACTGACTTGTGAACAATTCGAAAGAAACAGGCCAATGGCCAACATGAAAGCAAAAAAATCTGAAAGAAGAACCTTCGCATTTATCGATTCTGCTGCTAAGGAGTGATTCACTTAAGACGAAAGCTTCAGAATAAACTCTCTTCAGCCGTCTTTCAAAGACTAATTGACGCTGTCCGTCATAACAAGCATTTTTTTTGTTCGTAAGCAGCATTACCCAGTATTTTTAAAAACGTTTGATACATAAAAGAATTTATGTCGTTCACTGAATGAAGAAGCTCCCAGCAGAGTGCTCACCTTCCTTGGCTTCCACCAGAAATTGATGAACAGCTCGTTAGTGACGTAGAACGGACTAAATTCCGCCAAAGTGAAGGTGTTCCAGTCATCGAAGTCGAAAACGCGCTGAGCCACCTCAGCATCGTTGCCGGTGCCCCACCAATTGTACGAAACGTTCATGCGATCCTCGATCGAAATGTACTGAAATCTCCTGCTTATCATGGTAATTCGCTTGCACCATTATTTTCCATGAAAAAAGGAAAATGGAAAAAATACGTAGAGGTGTGCCAATTGTTTCGCTTTGACAACAGCCTACTCTGCTTCTGATATCATAGTGAAGAGGCGAGAGCTTCGAAATATGTTGAAGTAGACTTTACTGCTAGGTGCACAATAGCTGTATTGCTTGACTCGGTTTATTTCCAGTCGAACTCTTTTATGTATAGGAGCTTCGTATAGATAGAAAGGAAACAAGAAAAATTGCCTTGCATCCGGATACGAGCTCGAAGTCGAGGAGAGGATTTCGTAGCTGGTTGAAGTGAACATCGGCCTTCTGCGAGCCAAACACGCCCACCGCGTAAGATCGGGGCCATGAATCCACATAGTCCTCGTTCACCTAGAAATCGCCCTTTCTCACGACTTAAGAGCGAAATGGTTCACTGAGTGGCAGGAAAAAACTGCAAGAGTCAACCAGTCAAAAGGGTAGGATGAATGCCAAATCTAGACTTTGTATGAATTATTAATGACAAAGTGGTTTACACAACTTAAAAACTAAGTATGCATGAAGTAGCACTGAAAAATCTCACGTGCTTGGTTAGACCGTAGTAGCTGGGTAGGATTTAATCCACGCGTCCTCGTCACTCATTCAAAAGTGGCGTTGGAAAATCACGTGATTTGGTTACTTACCGAATACTGAGATGCTTGGATGCCACTCCTTACTGGTTGTGCGCACCCCAGCATAATCTCAATTTTTTCGGAGTTTTGTTGGTTTAGCCACTGTGGTTCCCTGGCATCACGAGAGCAGGGTCTGCCCTAGGTTGTCACCACCACAAGCAGTCGCAGCCTTTGTGGATCAGACGGATAGTTGTCATCATGCGACTAATTTGATACCAGAACGGTGTTGGATCCTGGTATAGGCTTACTATCAGCTGGGCTTCCTGATGGAAACGCCAGACTCCTTCTCAGCTTAGCAGACCCTGCCGGGGGATGAACCTCCCTGCTGTACAGCTCGACACCCAAGAACACCTTCCATCCACCATGAGGCGGTAAACCGTTGGCAAGACTACTGTGATTTAACATTGCAAACATGATAAGCATCATAAGTCATATCCACAATCGGAAAACACTAAGAAAACGCAACAAAGACCTCGTGGGATGAGATCTGGAGCTAATGCTTACACGTTATCATTTTAGAAACGCAACGATTCAAAGTAAACGATTAGTTCGAAATTTCGATGAAATCGGTGCGTACTGTTCAACTGAAGCGACAATTAATACAATTTAAGGCATGCGTTAATAGCGACATCGTGTCAGGAAATGATTCTGAAAATAAACTCAATACTAATGACGTAGTTGGCCTTAACGCGGTCGCCACCGCATTGCTACCAGCATCTACTAGACTCGAGGATTCTTTGACGAAAGTCAAAATCAGTTTTCATAGGCGTCTGGTTCGATACAATTGCCACTTGGGGTCAAAGCAGTTGAAAATGTTTCATTCAGGAAGGAATCAACCGACCTTTACGAAATGATTGTGTAGGAAGTAGTTGTATTGAATATAAGCGCTAACGAGGATATTTCGAACAGATTGTGAGGTAATCGCCATCCTTAGCAGCCATTGTGCCTGGAACCGATTCGATAGGCTTTTTTATAGTCTCATAGTTTTCTACATTTGTAAAATACATCTCATTGGTGGAAAAATTCACTCAAAAGCACCACTGGAGAATACTGATAGAACTAGCTGAGAGACAGGCAAAACGAAGGACCCGGATGGTGTGGTGGTGAAGTGCGCTACTTCCCCGTAAGGACAATAGCGCGCGTTCGTTCCCCACCGCATACACCTGCGGTCCGGAGTTTTGCAAATATCTCAGCATTATATACTGATAGAAGTGTTAAAAGCCCTACACGTGTCAGCGAAGAAGATAGAAAGGCACATTTGTCTTCAAAATATGTACATATATACATATAATGTCAACTTTTTATTCACTGTCTCCTACAATTTTTCACAAGCGGGTATTATGTGAAATACAACCGCAATGGTGCTGAGATATTTGCAAAACTCCGGACCGCAGGTATCTGCGGTGGGGACCGAACACGCTATTAGCCTTTCGGGGGGCTAATGTGCTCACCACCACACCATCCGAATCCTTCGCCTCGCCTTTCTCTCAGCTAGTTTTCTATCTACCGGTGCCATCAGCACTTACCCGTAAACGGGATTGGTAGACAGAAAACTGGGTAATAGAAAGGCGAAACGAAGGATTCATATGGAGTGTTGGTGGGTGCATTTCCTGGAAAGGGTAATAAAAGTTTCGATCCCCATCGCAGACACCTGCGGGCCGGAGTTTTGCAAATACCTCGGCTTCATTGTGGTTAGGTACATATATTTAAAAGAATCAAATACACTGCTTTTCTTTAAGAGATACTTATAATCTAATGTCGAGTTTAATAGAAAGTCGACCTTGGGAACACTGCTTTTTTTTCATATAAGTGGGATTTTCGACTACGAAAAAAGGAATGACCTGAGCTCCAACTTACGATCAAATCATAGCTAATTGTCCTCATAAGCGTCAAAACAGACAGAAAAATCTTAAACTTTTTATTTACTGCCTATTCTTTTTAACGACAGGGTATGTTGCGAAATATGACTACTATAATGCTGAGCTATTTGCAAAACTCCGGACCGCAGATGTCTGCGGTGGAGAACGAACGCGCTATTGCTCTTTCCGGGGAGTAACGCGTTCACGTCACAATAACCTCAGCTTAACCGGGTTCAATGCCGATTTGGGCTCCCCAGAGCAATCCCGCTGACGGGTGATTGCTGATGGCAAAAGATCGATAGAACTAGCAGGCGAAACGAAGGACCCTCATGATGTGGTGGTGAACGCGTTATTCCCCGGAAAGAACAATAGCGCGCTCGTTCTCCACCGCAGACACCTGCGGTCCTGAGTTTTGCAAAGATCTCAGCATTATAGTAGACAGAAAAATACTTAAAAGATTGCGGTTCTCAAGCAAATAAGTGAATTGCACACCTGATTGGTGAGGAATCGATTGCGTTCGACGACCAGCTTCTTCTCCATACCTTTCACCTCAATCAGGCCTCGTTTGGAAAAATTATCAGTGAAGTTGTTCGAAGAGATGTTCGCAAATGTGTAGTATCCATCGAGTAGCACGTAGAAGTCGTCATTGTTCTCAAAACGATTCTCCGTCATCTGAAACAGCTTTCCAGTTCTGGAGGAGTTCCACCATTAAACACTTCTGAAACGAGGAGAAGCCAAGACGAAAGACGACACTTAGGTTCTCTTAGCTCCATCTCCATTAGTGACGACCGAATCCCCTCGCAAAATAGCTCGCCTCCGGTGAGAGAAATCCCTCATAAAAAACTTACACAGCTATTTGCATGAAGGATCGCCTTTCTAATATCACTTCTCAATGTTTAAAGACCAAGATTTCTATCGGTGCACAAGCTACTGTAAGGTAGTTATTCATAATAATGCAGTTAAAACTTTACTTCCTTTATTCTAGTACTCGTGCTGTCGCTCAGAATTGATTGAGAGCATCTATATTGTTGTAGTTGGGTTTGCACCTACCCAAAAACTATGCTCGGGCTTGGCTAGCAGGTCGTACGTGTCCGGGAGTCGAACCGCCACACCGCTGTTCGAATTGTTCACAAACGTATTTGACCTAAACTCTTCCATGCTCAAGCTTCAATATTGCAAACTTAGTGAGACTTTAACGAGCATTTTGAAACTCGCAGGGTCAAAAACCTAGGGGAACAATAACATTTCATATCTTCAACTGTGAGATTCAGTAAACTGGCATAATGTTGTCGTTTTTCCGATAGTGAGCTTTGAAAAGTCTTCAAGGAGCTTTGCATTTATCTTGATGACCGAACTGCTACATACCTATTGGATTATTCAATATGTAATGCTCACTCTTTAAAGTTTTGGATGATTCCTTTCGAATCTAGTAGACTCCCAGAAATATTCAGGTTTTTCAAAAATATCTGAAGTCCACAGACCAAGCAAATAGAACCACAGTTTTGAAGCCAGTCAGCCGAATTAAAGTGTAAAAAGAGGGAAAACACTCCACAAATGTAAGCTGCTTCAACTGAACGAATGATAAAGCGATCGTTGTGATGAAATCTGTGGTGCATTTCATATAAAGCTCTCCGCGTTGATCAATTGCTGAGGGATGCGCCGTGCATTCCCTATTAAGCATCGTTGAAGGTGACTGAATGCATAACTGGCGTTTACAATAACTCGAACTGGCCCACTGATATATCGATCCAGTGCAGTTATCCTTCCAGACAAGTCTAGTGCCAACTTGTCGGCCTCGGAGGGATGGAAGGCTTGGAAAACCTTGGCGTGCATTAGACGGTAGAGATCGATGCCGTGTGTATTGCAGGGCGCCTCCGACCACTGGGCTACACGCGCCCGTTGTTAGTTTAATAATCTAGTGCTGATAATTTGTGGTTTAATGAAAGCTAATGCGCATATTATCACGACTGTTATTAATCGAAAAATCACCAAATCCAAACTCATCGAGAATTCTCTTGACTGCTAGCGAGGCGATTACATCGGAGAAGTACTGCAAGCAAACCCACGAAAGAACACCAAGTGCAATGTCTTCGAGCGGTACTGATCGATCAGGAAAAGACGGTTCTGCTACGGCGACATTACAGTGAGCATCCTCCCGCTTCAGAAATGATGGTTCATTGAAACCGAAGGAGCTGGAGTTCAAACTGCCTCCTTTTTACCCCACCCCATTGAACTTTCCATTAATGGATCACTATTTCTTAAACCACCGAATACGTTTCATTCACAAGAAAACCTTCGCAAATAAGGAAGCAGATTGAGGGCTCCTCGACGTCCTTGTCAGAAATCAGGGTCTATATTAATCATACTGTTTAGTTCATATTATTTCGTATTTATATTACCAGATTAGATGTTCTGTGCACTAAACTGCCAAAGAAAAGCTGGACCGGACACACAATGCTCATGAACGACAACTGATGGACACGATCCATTAGTGACCGGATTCCTCAGAATGTCAAATGTTCTGCAGGAAGACCACCGACCCGATGGTCAGAATTTTTCACGAAAAGCCTAGAGGAAAGATATAATGCTCAACGAGTCTCTAGAGCGAGCAGAACCCACTAGGCTATTTTTGCACGCGAGAGCGAAAAGTGGAAGATTTATTGACGCCTTCACTCGACGATCAACGGGGCTGCAGGTGATACAGGTGGTGTTATCAAAAATCCAGATTTCTACATTGATAGGGTATTCTGGGTTGTGGCATATTGACAAAGATCTACTAGCTGTAACGTCTCTTGCTTTCATTAAAAGAAAGTTGACATGTGTACCACGTGGGACCCTCCATTAAAAATCAGTTGCGAATCGAAAAGTTGGGAAAATAGATTCGAAAGTTGGGATTCAAAATAACTCACCAAATGTTCCAGTGGAAGACGTTCGCCGAAGCAAAAAGGTCGCGATGAGTCTCGATCACTGGACCGTGATTGTTTGACACAGAACAGTTGTCCAGGTGATAGCTAATCTGCAAGCGAAAGAATGAATAAGTGAAAAGCTTATGATTGCTGAGTGGTGTCGGACGTGATCGATAAGCATGTTTTGCAGTGTAAGTGGTGCAACAGCGCTAGAAATTATGACAGGAGTAAGCTGTTACCTCTGAAATGGGAGTATTCGGAAGGACTTCGTGCTGAGGAGAGTGGATCCAGATGACAGCTTCAGCATTCCGAGTGAAATTCACCTAAAAATTGTCTGTTTCACCTATTTCGATTGGGAATCACGGCCTCCATGCTTCCTCAATCTCTCCCCAGTTTGGTTACTTTGTTATTTTTTTGTTTCATTGTCCGATAGCTTTAACTCACACTACTTATCAGAAGAGTGCGTGTTGCGCAATGGTCGGGGGCGCCCACCGATACGCATGGGGTCGATTCCCGGGACAGGCTCACCAAGCCCTATATCTCTCCGGGGTCGGCAAATTGGTACCAGCCTTGTCTGGGAGGATAGCAACAATGGCTCGACACATCGGTAGGCCATCGCGAGTTATTTTAAAGGCCAGATATACATTTAATCACTTCCAACGATATTTAATTAAGTTAAATGCATGGCGCATCCCTCAGGGACAGATCAACGCTAAGAGGTTTATCCTTTTTATTTATTTACTTATCGGAAGTGTGCATTTTATACAGGAAGAAATAAAAAACAGAATTCTCAAAATCGAGAAGATAATTGGTGAAGGGAAGAGTATATAAGTGACTCGTAATTTCTCTTGCTTAAAATTTATTTTACACGATCCAATATCACGCACTGCGAGAATCCTAGCAATTCTCCTCTTTCTATTCGACTCGTTCCCCCCAATCCATTACTCATGAAGGCCTTTGGTTTTCTGCCAGTTGTTACACTTGTTGCTTGAAGAATTTCTGTCTTCTTTATGAAAGCCACTAAATTTTAGTTGAGCAGATCTTGCTGGAATCCTGCTATACTTTTGCTATCGTAGCAGGAACTCGCCAGCTTTTCTGGATTGAAGGGAGAGAGCGAATTGATCCCTGAGATGTATGGTAACTATGTCTCGAACCTGGAGCAATGGAAGGCTTGGTTGGTGCAGAGCAGGGTCGAACCAGTGCCTTGTATGTGTACTAAGCCAACTTTAGAAAACAAGGAAAAAGGATTCCTTGGAAAATCATGAGCTTTCGTTAATATTGGAACTGGTGAAAGCTTATGACAGATTATAAAAACTACAGAGTTTAACTAGATAACAAAAAATAATCACTATTATACAATACACAACGATATAAAAAAGGTAAAGTAAAAAAAAATAACGACGCTTAGATTTGATTGAACTACGAATAAATGACGAATCGGATAGACCTTTTGAAACCACAACTTGTCGTGGTTCCTTCGGTTGGTGATTGTGCCATCGGAGTAGGATAAATTACTGTAGTGGACCGAACTTATCCCGTACTGATTGTCCTCGACAACAGAGTGATAGAGATGAACGAAGCGATCCAAATACTCTTGAGCTGAAACTGGCACGATATAGTATGGTGAGAAAGAACCAAAGTGAAGAAAAACGAGACGAAAGATCACTTTATATACTATAAATATACACGTACTGTGTTAGACGAAAATCCGTATAAAAGGATAAAAAAGAAAAAGCTGTCGGCGTTGATAAATCCCTTAGAGACGCGCCATACATTCAACTTCACCAAACATCGTTAGAGATATAGAGAACATTCTTCACGAATATTGGAATGTTCTCTATGTAAAACAATTCAAACCTTTCCAAACATTTCAAATGCTTCTCCCATGACTTTCTCTCCATGACGATCTGATAACGTTTCCAAACATTTCAAATACTACTCTCATGACCTTCTCTCCATGACGATCTGATAGCCGTATGTCTAACATTTCGCTGGCGCCTATCTCGTAAAATATCTGCACTTACGGTCCTAGGCTTTGAATATCGCCCTATCAGATCGCAATGCTTGAGGAATGTTTCCAGCACCCGTCTTTAGCCGACTGTAGCCGACTGTCTACTGTAGCCCGACTCCGCCTACTGTAATCTGACTCCGCCCAGCGAAAAGGTATATGAACGACTCCACGGTTAGCTAGCTCATGTCACAGCAATGCTGCCCAAGTCACCGCATTCGTGCCTCACATCCATCTCATGTACTTAAAGTCATATGCCAATCTCTTCACTCATAAGAAGCCTGAACACCAGTGATCAGGCTGCGCCTACTCATAACCCGTATCATTGTTGCATTAATTGTAGAGTTGCATTGTTATGATTGTTGCATAATTATGATAAACGGTTTAATTACCCAAGTTTGAGGTGCCCGGTATTGCGACTGCTAATCACAAAAAGTCCCGCGTGGCGTACACAAAGGCGAGCAGCTAATTCCGACCGAATTGTCCTAACTACTTGGTATTCCTATATTAACGAGCCGTCCCAACAAGAGATGAATGAATGCATTGCCCTTTAAAATGACAAGCGGTGGCCTAATGATATATCGAGCCAGTGCTGCTATCCTCCCAGAGAAGTTTGGTACCAATTTGTTAACCCCGGAGGGATGGGAGGAACGGTGAGCCACGGGCGCGGGATCGATCCCATGTGTGCATTACAGGGCGTCTCTGACCACTGCGCCACACGCCGTTCTGTGGCGAAAATCCAGATATGTTCTTAAATGAAGATCCGCGAAAACAAGTATAACATCAGAATTAGGCTCCAGAAAGAAAACTCCCTTCACAGATTCCTCACTGGACTTTGTCTTTTGGACCGTATTTACGTTTCCATGAAGAACCTATCAATAAAAGCTCAAACAGAATATCAGTTAATGATTTCATCAAGATATCAACTTACCATCAAGGAAGAGCACTAATATGATGAGTTTAGGAGATCCATAGGACCGAGCGTAGTGCATGGTTACCATGTTAGAGGAGAACACCAAAGGAAACTAAAAACCTTCTTTATTATGATAAATCAACACCAAGGAGCACGGAATAGCAACTGAAAGCGTTACAATCATTAGTCAAAACCCGTAGAACACTTACCTGGTGATTGACGATGGTACAGGTGATACGAGTGGTAAGCAAATTTTGGATTTATTGATTTCTTCTTGTTATACATTAAGTGAATGTAAAATACAACAGAAATTCGATCTATACTGGCACAACTGCAGCATCTTGGTTATTTTCGACTATTAAATACTTCTAACAAATATCCCAAATGAGCTAAATGATTGCAAAACAGGGTTGATCTAGATTCAAATTTAAAAAGCCTGTAAATGATCAAACTGGGAAAAAAGTGGGGCCACCTTTACAGAGTCGCCTCTGGCACTGAAGGACTTGCCGCTTCCGGGATCGAAAAATACGGCATCCTCATCCGAAATGTTCGACGCCATGTTAACTATCTAGAAGGTTCCAAAGGTTCCAATTAGAAGAAAAAGCGAACGAAAAAAGGAAAAGTACATAAATGTGTCAAGAGGTAATGAGTGGCACTGAAATCGAAATCGAATATGGATAAGAATCGTCTTTCTTTAGAGGACTCTTTTTACTTGAATAATTGGATTGTCTATCTTCACTCGTTATGCGGGGTCCAGCATAATTTTCACTTGCTCGAGTTTTGCTGGTTTAGTCATTGTGGTTCTCTGGAGTACCGAGGCAAGCCTGGCCAAAGTCTGCCCTTGGTCATCACCACCACAGGCAGTCGCTGCCCTTCTGGATCAGAGGGTAATTTGTCACTGTGCGACTTGTTTGATACCAGGACGGTAGTGTATCCTGGTATCGGCTTACTCTGAGCTGGGCTTCCTGATGGAAACGTCAGACTCCTCAACTTGGGAGCACTGTTGGGGGATGGATCTCACCGCTGTACATCGCAGCCTGACACACAGGAGCACCTCTTAGCCACGATGAGGCAGTAAACCGTTTGGAGGCTAGATGACTTTACGATGTGCATATTAGGAATTATCATATTCCTCGAAGAATTATATTTCTGAATTCTGTGAATGAATCTTTTAGATTAGAATTCCAAAAAATATGCCAAGTAATTAGAAACTAGTTGAAGTTTAGCAAGAAGAAAAAGACTTGCTTGAATGGCCATCCTCGCCGGTAGACCGTAGCCGAATCCGCTAGCTCGCAGCTTCATCTCGAAATTGCAACGCTCCAAAGGAACTTAATAGAAATGACTATACGACAAGGATGTTGGGAAAAATTTTAAAAAATTAACAACGCAGCAGCGGACCACTGGTCCGTATGATGCTAGAAGACTTACCGAGTGGACATTCAGATGTTGGTTTAGCGATGAGAAATTTTCTCTGGTTCAGATGGCTTTCGATAACCTGAATGGAGCAACACTTCCATTTCAAGGTCGCTATTTGTAAGGATTTCCAGGTTTACTTCGACTAATAGAAAATAGAATGTTTAACTTTTTATTTGTTGCTACCTATTACTTTTTTCCATGGCAGGGTATTATATAAAATGCAAGCACAATGATGCTGAGGTATTTGCACCGCCCCAGGCAGGCTTTGAACCCGCGATAACCCTCTCTGGGGGAATAAAAAATATTTGGAAGCAAGGAAGATGAGTAGAAAAACACTGTTTGTGCACCGGAAAATTTCTGTTTCTATATTAGAACAAGAAAAAACACAGAATTTTTTACTACGCAACTCTCAACATACCCGTGTCTTGTACCCATTTAGGAGATGAAGCCCTGCTATATTACAATTCGTATTTCGTATTCAGTAAAAAACACTAATCAAAACGCCTCCTCTACCTCAATATACTTGTATTTCTCGCTTGGAATAACATAGATGTTATTGGCCTCAAGTTCTGGTTGTTCCCTCATATCCAGCCATGACACAATATCTCTTTGCAGCGACGCTGAGATCTTAGGATTATACCGTAACCCTGAATGCCCGGATCGCGTTAGCGCCATCTAAAATACGTACTTAAGGAATCAGTTAAGAAGCATTTAGCACTGCTTTGTTGTATAGTTTCGAAACTGACGCAAATGTTCAACACTGTGCGTAGTCACTTTGAGGACATTCGGAAGTCAAAAAGTGTTTGTACTGAGTTTTTAGAGTTATTGCTCATTTCGCCCTATTGAAAAATCCATGAAAGCCAAAAAACACCTCTTCAAGAGTGATCCCAACGGAGCGAAGGTGCATTCCATTGCGCCTATTGTTCGTTACAATGCTTTTCCGAATTGCCGGCTTTTTGATGAGGTCGTTGTAGATGACATCGATTCCATTCCAAAAGTTGTTCTGCAAATGTGACTTTTACAGCCTTAAGAGAATCATCTAAACATCGTCAGCCTCACATGCGTTCTCTAATAGGTTATTAAAGAAAGAGGTGAAAGTAGTTGAGGAATTTGAGATAGAAATCGTTTTTTTTTTGGAGAATTCCCTCAATGGATTCTTTACGCGAATATCTAGGAAACTAATTCGACTTTGAATATATATATATATACATACATACATATGCATATGTGTATATATAGAGGGAGGATGGCACAGTAGTAGTGATGTTCGCCATCACGAGCATGGTACTACTTCGATTCCGCTCTGGGCCAACCAAGTCACTCATCCCTCTGCGGTCGGGAAATTGGTACAAAACTGGTCTGCACTAAAAAAATCACTCTCTACAACCCCATTGAGAACGCTCCAGCACGGCTACCTCAAGACTCCAGCGACAATTGCTCGACCAGCATTCTACTACATTGAAGGTGAAATAAAAAATCCTCAAGCAGTAGGCGAACTAGCCGAAGCGACACGTATTGGAGGATCTTCGCGGATCATGGATGTGAGGAAACGAATCGACTGTGAGAAGTGCTGGGATCCGCACAGTAGACGTGAAGGCGGACCATATAAAACGAAATAAAATAAAATGAATATATATA